ATCTCTCCAGCACAGAATTTTTTTAAGAGGAGAGATTTTTTTTTTTTTGATAAAGGACGAAAGATTTCCCCTCAGCTCTTAAATCCAGGGCTTTGCACATGCTGTACAGGTGCTGTGTCCCAGAGCTACACACCCAGCTCAAGATTTCTTCCTTGCTAATTGTAATGCATGCTACATTTCTTAGAAATTATTTGATTTTTTTTTTAAACAAAATTTTCTTTTACATGAAAATCTTAAAAGACAATTACAAATACTACACCAAATTGTAAGTAGAAAAAGCCATAAAAATAAATGTAATCTTCAAAGTATTCAAAGTAGGCTTTTATGTTGTTTTTCAACTCAAAGTAAAGTAAGCGTATCTTAAGTGACTTTTTAATTTTAATTTTTTTTTTTGCATTTCTGTGTTTGTGTGTGTGTGTGTGTGTGTGTGTGTGTGTGTGTGTGTATGTAGGTCAGAGGACAACTTGTAGAGATGGTTCTCTCCTACCACATGGGTCCGAGGGATGGAATGTAGGTTGGGCAGCCTTGGTGGCAAGCGCCTTTATCCACTGAGCCATGTTGCTGGCATTTTTATGTGATTTATAACCATGTCTAAAGATGTTTTTCTTACGCACAGTTTAATATATTTCAGTAGCGTTCTGTCCTGTTTTTCTATATTTTTTTGATCATTGTTGTAAATCTTAAAAATATTTACAAAGTACTTGTTTTTAGTTTCCAATTTGAGAGAAAACTTTAATACTTATCTCTGTCTGATTTAATATAATAGCCTCTAGTTCCATCCATTTTCCTTCAAATGACACTCCTTATGTGTATAGTCTATATCATAGACTATTATTTTTTATCCATTCATCTCTTGATAGGTACCATTTGTTCTCTTGAGTTTGTTGAGATCATCTGGCCATTCTTTACTGGATTACTTGCTTTTTTTTTTTTTTTTAAGTTCTTTATACATCTTTGGTATTAATCCTCTATCAGCTAAATAGCTGCAAAGATTTCTCTCACCCTATAGGCTGTCTCTGCTCCGTTGGCTACTTTCTCTTATGTAGCTCCTACAGACTTTTGCATCTAGTGAATTTGTTAAGCACATGCACAGTGTTAAATATTGAATATATGACTTGATGGCTTGTTTGTAAAATTTGCTTGTGACCAAGAAGGCTGACAGGGATGTCTTTACATCTAGGATTTTGGAATGTTTCCTTACAGGATGTAGTAGAATTCCTGAGTCAGGTTTTTGAACATGTTCGTGGCTTGTACTTGAAGTGGGGTTGGAGATACAGTACATGGCATTGACCACATCATGTCAGAACCACCTTCCTGACCTTTCCTACCACTGTGTGACTGCAGAGGCTCCTTTGGCTATCAAATGATGGATCTCTCTGCCTTCCTTTAATGTTACTGTACACCAGCAATACTGGACATGTTCACTATGTCTGTTGAATATCCAGGTTCTAATGAGCATTTCTTTCCATGTTTTAAAGGCTGCCTGAGCAGATTCACCCATGCAAACCGCCACTGTCCAAAGCACCCCTATGCCAGGCTGAAGAGAGAGGAGCCAACTGACACTCTCAGCAAGTATCAGGCTGCGGACAACAAGGCTGCGGCCGAGTGGCTGGCAAAGTAAGGCCCTGCTGTATGTGGTCTCTGGGAAATGCTGTGGGGCTTGGCTTTGTGTTAAAGTCTGGGAATTCTCTGATTTTAAATAAGTTACTCTTATACATCCTTTACAGGATAGTTCAGAATAGTTTTTAATTTCCCATAGAGTTGTTAGGAGTGCTTGGGATCTGAGTGTGATACAAACAAAATAGTTTGAGTGCCCCAAGCACAATTTTTATTTTTTTGGTCTTTTTGAGATAGGATTTTCCTGTAGCCCCAGCTGACGTGGAACTCACTATGTAGACCAGACTGGCTTCGAATTCACAGAGATCCATCTGCCTCTGCCTCCTGAATGCTGGGATCAAAGGCATGCGCCACCATGCCTGGCTAACAGGTTTTTTTTTTACAATTTTTCATATTCTTTGTTGCACTGTGGACAATTATGGAATACTTCATGAATTTACATGCCATGGCAGAAAGGAGGCTGTATCAAAATCTTTCTCTGCAAATACTTGATTTAAAGACTCACCTTTTGCCAGGTGTGATGGTGCACGCCTTTAGTCCCAGCACTTGGGAGGCAGAGGCAGGTGCGGATCTCTGAGTTCGAGACCAGCCTGGTCTACATAGTGAGTTCCAGGACAACTGTGCCTAGAAGGAAGACCCTGTCTGAAAAAAGACCAAAAAAAAGAAAGAAGCCTTGTCTATTGTGAACATTATTAGGGTTTATCCACAGTGCCCCTGGGCCCCTTGCTATGCTGTAACAGTTTTGCCCTCACACTGGTCTGCACCATTGTTGTTTCACTTCTTCGGCCCCTCTGCTCACCTTCATTTCTTACGCAGGATAAACTTGACTTCAGGAGGCTCCCTTGACCTGCTCAGCAACTTCGAGAACAAACTGGCTGGGGTCTACTTCTTCATAGATGCTTTTAAAGGGCCAGTATCATCCTCAGTGTGAAGTCTGACCCTTTGCTGTAGCACTCAGAGCCCTGCTGGCCTATTTTCATTGTCCTGTTTCAGTTCAAACTCTACTTAACTAATGACATTCTTTTTCTTTTTTTCTTTTTTCCTTTTTTTTTGAGACAGGGTCTCTCTGTAGCCCCAGCAAGCCTGGAACTCACTATGTAGATCAGGCTGGCCTCAGTCTCATAGAGATCTGCCCGCTGCGGCTTTGACATTCTTTTAATGCTTCTGCATATACTGCCAAACTGTGTAGTATGAGTAGTCTCTATATCCTGAAATGACATAGTTGTAATTTATTTTTTGTATATAATATTTATTTTGAGATAGGATGTAGCCCTGGCTGGCCTGAACTCGTATGTAGACTGGGCTGCCCTCAAACTCCCGGAGATGTCTGCTTGTACCTGTTCCAGAGGTGCAGCCATCAAGGCGTATGCAATCATGTCCAACTATTTCTTGCATACAATTTTAAAAACAGCTTTGTTTAACTATAATTGACATATGATAGGTTGTATATATTAAAAGTGTACATTTTGATACATTTAAAAATATATTTTACTTATTTTTATTTGATGTGTATGAGTGTATTGTCTGCATGTGTGTAAGTGCATCCATGTTGTGCAATGCCTGTGGAGATCAGAAGGGGGCATTGGATTCCCTGGAACTATAATCGGATGCTTGTTAGCCACCATGTGGGTGCTGGGATTTGAACCTGGGTCTTCTAGAGCAGCCATCTCTCTCCAGCCCCCACAATTTGATACATTTTGACACATCTACACCATGAGACCACCAGTCAGACTAATGGACATATCTGTCATTTAGGAGTTTTCTAGCTCTCTTTTTGTAGCCCCTCCCTACCCCACTCCTCTCAGACAACACTGATCTGCTGTCTGCTGTTACTGTAAATTAGTTTGCACTTTCTAGAGCTTTATACAAATATTGTCAAATGGCTGCTTTCACTGAGCACCACTGTTGTGAGTTCATCAATGCTGAGTGGCTCCTGTTCTGCAGCCCTTTCCTGTTACTTATTCAGAGTGGTAAGCTATCCTGCAGTTCCATATCAGCTTGCTTAGTCATTCACCTTTGGTAGACATTAGGTTTGCTTTTAGCTGTTAAAAATAAAGCTGTGAGCATTAATATACTTTGGTGGGGGGGGGTTGTTTGTTTTTATTTTTTATTACTATTATTTTTTATGTGTATGAGTGTATTGCCTGCATGTATATGAGTGCACCCGTGTCGAGCAATGCCGTGGAGGTCAGAAGAGGGTTTCAGATTCCCCTGGAACTGGAGTTAAGGACGGTTAGTAGCCGTCATGTGGGTGCTGGGAATCAAACTCGGGTCCTCTGCAAGAGCAGTCAGTGCTCTTAACTGCTGAGCCATATCTCCAGCCCCTTGTTTTGGTCTTTTTGAGACAGGGTCTCCCTGTAGCCCCAGTTGGCTTAGAACTTGCTATGTAGACCAGGCTGGCCTTGAACTCACAGATCTGCCTGCCTCTGCCTCCTAATTGCTGGGATTAAAAGCATGCACCACCACACCTGGCAATATACAAGACTTTGTATAGATATATTGGTGTGTGGTGACACTGTCATTTATATGTGCATTTCTTTAGATAGCAAATGAATGAACATTCGCATTTTCTCTTGTGAATTATCAGTTGTTTACATAATAGAATAAAGCCGGAGTTACATTTTTTGGACAAACTACATATCACTGATAGTAATTTGTTATATTTGTGGGTTTAATGTTTTACATAGTCAATCCTGTTAGAAGTTATCATCCCTCTGTGAATAGGTATCTTTTTTTCTCTGTGGTACCAGGGATCCTGATGTCCAGGGCCTTGTACAGGTTAAGCAAGTGCTCTACCACTGAGGTATATTCCCAGAAGATAGGTTCCTAAGGCTATTTTCTTCAAATTATTTCTATATTTTTCTCCTAGCCCATTTTATACTTGATCATAAAAGCAAGATTTTTTTTTTCTCCTATGCTGTTTCAAGTTGGGGGCCTTGACACATGTTATGTAAATGTTCTACTTCTGAGCTACTTTCCTAGCCCACTGTATGGCAAATACATGAGTAGAGAAAGAACTGAATATGAGCTCTGAAACAGCCAGTTTTTTATTACAGAAGCCTGAGTACTAGTTGTTACTTCTTGAACTTAAGTTTTTCCCTTTGTAAATGGGAATTATATATGCTATATGTGAAACCACTTCAAAAGGTCATGAATAGTCACAAAAAAGCAATACTATGTTAACTGCTCCCTTAACAAAGTTTTATTTTCATTACCATATATTCATTGGGCATAGTAATGAGTTTCATATAAGTCTATCAGGTCCTTTGATCACATTACTCTCTCTGTATCCTACCCTTTCTCCTCCTAGACCCTTTCAGCACCGCCCCCTTCAGTTTTACTTCTACTTTCATGACATGCATAAACATGATTTTTTTGTTGTTTTTTAAAACTTTTTATTTTTATGTGTATGAGTGTATGTAGGTAAGTGCATCCATGTTGTGCAATGCCTGCAGAGGTCAGAAGAGGGTGTCAGATTCCCTGGAACTAGAGTTAAGAGACAGTTGTTAGCTGCCATGTGGGTGCTGGGAGTTGAACCTGGGTCCTCTGCAAGAACAGTCAGTGTGCTCTTAACTGCTGAGTCCTCTAGCCCCATATACAGATGATTTTATGAGTATATAAAATCCGAGATCCACTATAAAATCTGAGATCCACAAATGAGAGAAAACATGGGAGATTTGCCTTTCTGTGTCTGACTTATTTAATATGATCTTTAGTTAGATCCACTTTCCTGCAAAGGACATAATTTTGGTTCTTTGTGGGTGAATTAAACTATTACACACACACACACACACACACACAGACCACATTTTCATCTGTTTACAGACACCTAGACCGATTCTATAACTTGGCTACTGTAAGTGTAGATGTACAAGTTTCTGTGGTCTGTTGACAGAGTCCTTCAGCCATCTACCCAGGAGTAAATAGCTGAGTCATATAGTCCTATTTTTAGTTTTTTTGAGAAACCTCTGTATTTATTTCCATAATGGCTGAACTAGTTTGCATTCCCACTAGCAGTATATAAACAGTTGACTGAGGTGAGATGGAATCTCAGTGCAATTTTAATTTTCCTGATAGTTAAGGCTGTTGAACATTTTATATGTTTATTTACTATTTGCAGCTCATCTTTTGAAAACTAAGACTATTTTTTTTTAAACAAAAGTATATATTTGGCAATATTGAGTCTACCATATAAGTAACCTGTCTGCCTTTTACCCAGGTATTGGGAGATGAGAGAGCAGCGCACCCCTACTCTGAAAGGCAAGCTGGTTCAGAAAGCTGATCAGGAGCAGCAGGACCCTCTGGAGTACCTCCAGTCTGACGAGGAGGACGATGAGAAGAGCGGCGCCCAGCGCCGACTGCAGGAGCAGCGGGAGAGGCTGCATGGGGCCCTGGCACTCATCGAGCTGGCCAACCTGACAGGGGCACCACTCCGCCAGTAGCCCCTACACTGACTCCACTGTACAAAGTACTGCCCAGCATACTTACAAAGTAGATCCTTGGGCATAAGCTAAGCACCTTATTTGCTTATCATAGGCTGCTATTCTGTAGAATTTTATGAAGAATGTCATTGCCTCAGACAAATGGGGTGAGAGAGAATTGCACTTTTTTTTTATATGGAAATGGATTTGATGTAAAGTATAAAATATTTTGTAAATATGGACTGCACAGTACAGGGTAGAAAGCTACACATTGTGGGAAGCTAGATTTTGCAAGTTTAATGCATTCATTGGAAGCAGTTCTCACAGAAAGCACTTTGTGAATAAGACATTTGTGTGAAAAAAACAGAATGGTACAAATAGCCAAAGAAGGTTGAAATAGATTATTTATAAGATCATTTTTAACAATGTATTTTAGTGTGTGTGACAATACTGTAAACACTGAAGCAAGAAAGTATGAGATATATATATAAGATACATATTTTTAAATTGCAAAGTAGCATGCCCAATAGGGCTAGAGAAATGGAGGCCAACTATTTGGAAAGATGCTGTAAGTTACAGACCTGGACCTGGAAAATAGGTATTTGAGGATCTTGATGAGATAATAGTTAGGAATTTTTTAAAAATTGGAGTAAAATCAGTCTTATTCCATCTTTCTGGGGCTTTTTAACTCACTATAATGTTTAAGCTTGGAAAGCACTTGTCACCCCTAGCTTGTTAACTTGGGGACTTTTGCACATTTTACAATTCTTGTTTGCTGAAAGTGAGTGATTAATCTTGCAAAGTCTAGGTAACATGGCAATTGGTGCATATGTGCATATACACCACTTACGTCTATTATGAGCCCTGTTATGAGATTTGGGACTTGTTTGTGTTAATAAAAGGGACATCTGCAGGGTTGTTTTGTAATGAAATGTTTTTGGTCTTTTGTTAGTAAACACTAAATTGTAATTGTACTGCTTGTTTAGCGTTCTTAGCAAATGGAAGCCTCCATATTTATATTTTGAGTGCATATTGTCACCTTTCTGCTTTACCTCAGAATAACATGCCAAGCTACTTTGTGTTCACTAAATTTAGCTACCAGTTAAACACTTCAGAAATATTAACTACTCAAATACGTAGGCTTCTGGAATAGTTTTTAACTGCAAGTGTGTTAAACGCTGGTTCAAAACCATTTTTTTCCCAAATAACCATCACACTGTGTACTAAGGCATGAGCAGAAAAACCAGGGACTGAGCAGTCTATCTCCTTTATGTAGTCAGAAATCTACTACTTAGCTTTTTTTTTTTTTTTATGAGCTGAGCTACTTGATATGCATAGCATGGTGATTATGGATTCCTTGATTGGAGTAAACTTCAGAGTAATAGGGGAAGATGGGCTTCTTGGTGCCTTTTTCTTTGAGTTGAGGTAGCACCCTACAAGTGTAATTTACACATTTAGAATGTAGGCCTTGTTATCCAAAAATCCCACTGGGTTGCAGTACACAGGTAATCAAAATGTATAGCCTTGGGGAAGGGGAGGCAAGGAAATGCCTGGACAAAAGTGTGAAGCTGAAGGTAGGACAGTTACAAATAATGTGTATGATGAGGACATGCTTTAAAAATGGAATTCCTCTGTATAGTCAATTACCAATCTTTAGGGGGGGTTGTAATGAGAGAATTTATATTTGTAATGGTCTGAGAATTTTGTTTGTACTCTGGTATGTAGAGTTTAACTTGGAGCACTTAAGTATGGTAAGAGAGACCATAGCATCTGAATTTTCTTGGTTGGGGTTCAATATTTTCTCTAGAATTTTTCCTTTCAGAAATGGGAGCATGAACTGAAATGCAATTGACTCATCAGCCTTGGGAAGTTTAAAATCTGATCGACTTTCCTAAAGAAGGAAGGCAGTACAAATTTGAAAAACACCAATATTAGCCAGTTCTCAGATGATAAATTTTAAAGTCTTCCAAAAGTAAGGGCTTTGTTTCTCCAGTTGGCTTTTGTCAACCACAATAATTATTTTCAGAAGTATTTTTTATTTGTATAATTGGAACAGTTTAAGAAATTATTACAACTGCTTACCATTGGACATGTTTTAAAGGGTTCTTTTTTTGATATAAGCTATATACTTGGACAAAATACATTGGCATCTAAAATATGAAGTGTGTTAAGACTGCTTTTTGTTTTAAAAATGTGGTTTACATTCAGATTTTTGAAGTGTTTTATGCTTCATACAGCTAAGTTGTTTGGCAGAGTTAACAGCATATTAATAAACATGCTGTAATTTTAAAGGATGCTTTGAATAAAACTTTATTTTAATTTAAAGCTCAAAGTACATGGTCATTCTTGAGGTTTTATAATTTGTTTCTATATCAAAAATATAACTATGGTACAAAAACCTAAAATTTAACCCTACATCCTTGTATCAACATTCTAAAATTATTTTGGCATATTTTCTATTTCAGTCTCATCTCAGTCTTGTTTTTTTTTTTTTTTTTT